ACAATTATACTCATCCACATGATATGAATATCCAAATGAAACAAAAAATAAAAATTTTGAAATAAATAAATCAAAAAATTCGACTTACGTACAAGTTTTTCTTTTTTTGGAATAGCAGCCATATCAGGGAAAATAATACATCCTTAATGTTGAAATGTTACCAGGCATGTGTTTTAGGTTGATAACAAAAATAAAGGTTGAAACTTTGAACATACAGATTTGATAAAATTGCAGAGAAATTGAATGCAGAAAGAAAGACGAGAAAAGTTTCTTTCTTGATTGAAATCAAAGAAGCTATTACACGGTTATAAAACCCTAACTTGGTCAGAAACTCAGAACCTACAAATTAAGGAACAAGGACTCATCTCTAGCCATTCAGGCCATCGGAGGCTATGATCCTTCCACTTGAAAACAGATCCAATGACATAGTATGATTCCTAAGGATAAGAATACCAGCTATGAAACTTACTAAAAACAGAAAGTAAACTAGTCGTTACAATTTAAAGACTACCGACTACTACTAAAAATAGTAAGTTCTTCATTTCTTCAATTTCATCTTCCTTTTCAATTCCAGCTACTTACTGGCTTAATTCTTAACAGGTGGGATTTAAGTTAGTATGTAGCTTAATTCTTAACAGTCTCTCCAAAGCTACTTACTGGCTTCACTCCAAGTTTCATTCTCAAGTAATTGAACCTGTCTTTAGGCAAAGCTTTTGTAAAAAGATCTGCAAGTTATTCTTCACTCCTGCAATATTGCACATCAATTAATCCTTCCTATAATGCTTCCCTTATAAAGTGATACTTCCTATTTATGTGCCTTGTTCTTTGATGAAAGACATGATTCTTGACCATGGATATTGCAGACATGTTGTCACAAAATAGTGGAGTTGCATCAGTTTGCATTTCACCAAAATCATTTAAAACAGACCTCAACCAAATGGCTTGAGTTGTTGCTTCTGCTGTTGAGATATACTCAGCTTCTGCAGTTGATAAAGCAATAGTGTTTTGTTTCACTGAGGCCCATAATAATACTCTACTTCAAACTAAATGCATATCCAGATGTGCTTCTACTGTCATCTTCACTTCCAGCCCAATTTGAATCACAAAATCCAATTAGAACTGCCTCTTTGTCTCTTGCAAATTCAATGCCATAGTTGAGAGTGCCTTAAATCTATCCAAGGACCTTCTTTGTTTTCCCATGTGTTTCCTTGTGGGACCACGCATGAGTCTTGATAATAAACTGGCTGCAAACATAATGCATGGCCTAGTTGTTGTCAAGTACAACAGGCTGCCAACAATTTTTCTATTAGGTAGAGAAATTGAAACTTACTTACAATCCTCAAGTTCAAATTTCACAAAAAGAAACTTTCATATTTGCTTTGATGAATAAACACCCCCTTATCAGATTGTAGTACTCCCATTCCCAAGAAATGATGAAGGAGTTCTAAATCTGTCATTTCATATCTCAGCATCATTTCTTTTTTGAAATCACTGAGCAACATATCACTGCTACCAGTATAAACAATATCATCAACATAGATAGAGACAATGATCATTTTCCCTTCTCCATCAATTCTGGTATATAGAGTGGCTTCACTAGTGCTTCTTTTGAAATTGCAGCTAGTGAGGTAGGTATCAATCTCACTATACCAGGCTTTAGGAGCCTATTTTAGGCCATATAAAACCTTCTTCAGTTTGTAAACCTTATGACTTGTATTTTTCACTTCAAAACCTTCTGGCTGCTTTGTGTAGACCTCTTCCTTAAACACTATACCAGGTTTTTGTGCATACCTTTTTACTACAAGCCTAGCCTTGTGTTTCTGGACAGTCCTATCCAAGTTTAGCTTGGTTTTAAACACCCATTTTACTCCAATAACATGTTTGTTTGCAAGTCTTTCTACTAGCTCCCAAGTTCCATTTTTCTCAATTGTTTACATCTAAGCATTCATTGCTTCCTGCCATGCTTTATCTTCAACAACTTCATGATAGGTTTTAGGTTCAATTATGTGCAAGTGACACCTAGCATAGATTTATTCCAAGCTTTTCAACTTCACAGGTGTGTTGCTTGGTGTTGAACTTGAACTTGAGCTTCCATTGTTACTCATAGAGACATGATCATCATCAGAGTTTATTGATTTAGACTAAGAGAGTCATTACTCTGAGCTTCAAAAGATGACCCAGCAGCTTCACTAACTTGAAAATTACCATTTCCAAGATTCAATGGTAGGGTGATTCAACCTGCCTATTTTCCCAGTTCCAGGACTTGTTCTCATCAAATAAAACACTTCTTGAGAGAACAATCTTTTCAGATTGAAGATTATAGGCCCTGTAACCCTTTTCATAGCTGTCATAACCTATGAAAACTCCCTTACTAGTTTTCTCATCAAGCTTTTGTCTAAGATTTGAGGGAATGTGACTGTAGTAGATGCTTCCAAATATTCTCAGGTGTTTTATGTTTTATACCTGGTTTTCTTTCTGTAAAGGCTTCAAATGAAGTTTTGTCATTTCCTTTGGTAGTGTAACACCTATTCTGCAAGTACATAACAGTGCCAACTGTTTCAGCCTAAAATCTCACAGGAATCTTCTTCTTTATAATGGATCTTGCCATTTCTCCAATAGTTATATTCTTCTTCTCAGCAGCACCATTTTGCTAAGGAGAGTAGACAATAGTCAACTGCCTCTCCATACCAATATCATTGCAATAGCTTAGAAATTCATGTGATGTGTACTCTCCACCTCTGTCACTCTTTAGTATCTTCAATTTGAATACACTTTGCAGTTCAACAAATGCTTTGAACTTTTTGAAAACATTCGACACATTAGCCTTGTTTCTAAGAAAATATACTTAGCACATTCTTGAATAATCATCAATGAATGTGATGAAGTACCTGTTTCCACCTATGGACTCATTTTGCATTAGACCACACACATTTGTGTGCACAAGCTCAAGTGGATTACTCTTCTCTGTGACTTTTACCATATATACATCCTTCACATACTTCTTTCTTTTCTGAGAACTCAGGTAGTCCAAGCACCATATTGGTTTGCTGCAATCTTCCTTAAGCCTCCAAAGTTCAAATGTCCCAATCTCTTGTACCAAATCCATGAATCTTCTTCTATTGATGCTCTTCTTGCCATTGAGTTTACTAATTCCAATGACAAAGGAAAACACATATTGCCATTTATGATAACTTTGGCAACAACATTGTCAAGACTGCTATTATCACATATCATAACAACATTTCCTCCAGATAAAACATAGTATCCATGTTCCATCATTTGACCTACACTCAACAAATTTTCATTTATACCTGGAACCAGCAACACTTCATTTATGTATCTTTTTCCTTTTTTTTGTTTCAACAAGTGTTCCTTTTCCTGTGGCTTGAACAAGATCACCAGTGCCCATTTTCACTTTGCAGGTCACTGACTTGTCAAGATTGATGAGTAGAGCTTCTTGAGAAGTCGTATGATTGCTGCAAGCACTGTCAACAAACCACGCAGATTTGCTTGGTGCAATTGAAGTTGCATGACAAACATAGAACATTGTTCCTGTGATAGTATCTTCTTCTTTTGCATAATTTGTAACCTGCTTACTATTATCACAATCTTTGGTTAAATGACCAAATCGGTTGCACTTACCATATTTAGGCTTCCCTTTGTATCTGCATACACCAAAGTGATATTTGTCACATACTTGGCATAGTGGTTTCCTATTTCCATGACTACCACTAGGTTGCTTGTTGTAAGAATTAAATTTGTTGTTCCAATTTCCTCCACCAGAGTTGTTCCAATTGTTACCACTGCCATTGTTCTAGTTATTTCCTTGAGGCCAATTTTTTCCCTTTTTGTTTTGCCCCCATTTTTGGTTTGGCTTGCCTTGTGACCCTTTGAAGTTTCCTGTAGCATCCATTTCCCCCAACTTTAAGACTGTTAAATGCTCTCTCAATGCCTACATACTTGCCTCTTACATCATGAAAATCTTCTCTGTTGTCATAGACCTGAACTGAGGCTAACAATTCTTCTATTTTGATTGTGTCAAGATCTCTAGTTTCTTCTATAATAGAAACAATGGACTTATATCTCCTGCTCAAACTCATTAACAATTTTTGAACAATTCTTTTCTCGGTCACATCCTCTTCTAGTGATTTCAAGTTATTCACTATTTCAAAGACCGAGCTAAATAATCATCCAAAGTTTCAACGTCATTCATTCTTAAATATTCAAAATCAGCTCTAATGGCTTGTAATTTCATAGCTCTAACCTTTTTATCTCCTATGAATTCTCTTCTCAAGATGATCCAGGCTCCCTTTGTTGTTTTCTCATTCCTGATACGCTGGAAAAGTTCATCTGAAATTGATCCTTGGATGAAGCTAAGAGCCTTGTCATTTTTTATTTTATCTTCCTTTGAGACAGCAGGAGCTTCAACTGGAACGTGTTTAGTTTTGCTTTCTTCTTCTTCCTCAAAGCCTTTTTCTTTGGGAATTTGCTGCTCAAGGATGCCAACTTCAACCACATCCCATAAATCGTAAGTTAGGAGAATGGTCTCCACTTTGATAGCCAAAAAATCATAGTTTGACTATCAAAATGTGGTGTTCGTAAGTCACCACCGGAGGAACTTGATCTAGCCATATTCTCAAGTAACGCAGCACGAAGATGATGATAAACGAACCACATTTAACCCTTTATGGGATTTGTTTTTTCCAAGAAAGAAATTCACAGTATCGCCCCTTCTTAGGAATCAGACCTAGAGCTCTGATACCATGTTGAAATGGTACCAGGCATGTGGTTTAGGTTGATAACAAAGATCAAGGTTGAAACTTTGAACACACAGATTTGATAATATTGTAGAAAATTTGAATGCAGAAAGAGAGAGGAGAAAAAGTATCTTTCTTGATTGAAATCGAAGAAGCTATTAAGCGGTTATAAAATCCTAACTTGGTCAAAAACTCAAATCCTACAAATTAAGGAACAAGGACTCATCTCCAGTCATTCAAGCCATCGATGGCTACGATCCTTCCACTTGGGAATGGATCCAGTGACATAATACGATTCCAAAGGATAGGAATACCAGCTGTGAAACTTACTAAAAACAGAAAGTAAACTAGCCGTTACAATTTAAAGACTAACGGCTACTACTAAAAATAGTAAGTTCTTCGTCATTTCTTTGATTTCATCTTCCTCTTCAAGTCTAGCTGCAGGATTATCATATGCAGGTTAGATTTAAGCTAGTATGCAACTTAATTCTCAACAGTTAATTTGCTGAATCTTTTACATACCAGTCCTATTTTTTTTTAGCAATGAGCAACAAATTAAAAATTTAATCCTATAATATCCAGTTCTCTCTTCTCTGCTCCAATGCTGCATTGGGACAGAAATACATACATCCACTGGCTGCCTAGGCAAAGTGAGGAAACTAGCAACACATTTTCCGGCATCAGGTGTACTATTTCGACATGCAAAACTATCCAGCGTGACCAAAAAAGTTACTCGTAATCATCATGATTTTGGGAGGCCAGCCGGCAAAACCTCTGCTTCTTCAGTACATGACATGAACTATGAGCATTCGTCCTTGATCATTCACTTCGATGGTTCAGTTACTGCTTCGGGTTCTGGGGCTTATCCTCTGCAGAGAGAATGTGCATGCAGTCTCAAGTAAGAAAATACTAGACTTTTGCTGATAAGAAAGGAGGCCAATTGTTATGCATTATATTGACTATGCAAGCGGAAAAAACAATCCTTCAAAACTATGGAAAGTCGGATAAAGTATCCACTGGTCACTTGAGAGAAAATTGAGGGGAGGACTCACGTATCGCTTTAGGATCTCTATGTACAAAGAAGCTCGCAGCGACGATAATGTAGCAAAGAATGAGCATCAGTCCTTTGAAGTAATTAGATGTTCCCTCCTGCAAGTTCAAATGCAATCCATTCATACACGTTATGTATAGGATAAGTAGTCGCTGCAGTGCTGATACAAAGAAACAAATTCATGTCTTTCTATTGCATTTGTGCCATGAAAAGATTTATGGTTTGTTCGAATGACGAACCTGCAGCATGAAGGCTACCACCAGAACAGTTATGAAAAGTGTCGCTGTCTCAAACAGTTGGAAATCTAAGTCCATAGGGCACCCCATGAACCACCCAACCACCACACAAAACGGAATCTGTAGAAATCCAGGAAAAACGGAAAACTGTTGAGCAAGAAAGAAGAACGGACAAATTATATGAAAGCATGAACAGAATCAACACGACACCACATATATGTACCAAAAAAACAAATCATAGTAAATGTCAGTCTAAATACATATGATATTTGGTACTCACTCCAAACATAGATATCTGGGTTGATGAGCCAATTGCCACTCCTAAAGTTATATCCTGCACGAAACATTGAGGCAAAGTCAACAAGGAATGATAAATCATGAGTGATTGTACCGATAGGACAACCACTTACAAGCTTGTCTTTCACGGCGAACATAACAGCACCAGCATGCTCTGCTGCGTTCCCAACAATTGGGAGCAAAATAACACTAATAAACGCTACTGGGATGCTCATTGCAACAGATGCACCCTGGAAAAAAAAATACAGAAACACAAGACATTCCTCACAACAAATCATCTAAAATTGGAGGTATAAATAATAGGATGAAAACTCTAGTAGGATAAGACAATGATCTAACAAGATGTATTACCTCTATAGCATTAACTAAATATTCTGAGAGGACCGAAATCACCACGGTTAGAATTGATAGCCATATTATGGATTCCCACTTAGAGATCTCAGGAGCCTCTTCATCATCTGAATTTTCTTCGGTGTGATTCTCTGACTGGTTTTGTACCAAATTCATATACACCATTAGATCACATATAGGAGAAGGTGCACAAACTCCACTTAATCAAATTCATCACACACTTGAACAGTGAAAGCATAAGAATTAGTAACATGGTTTGAGGTCCTTATTGGCAAAGACTTGTACCAACCTGATCAACTGGAATATATAAATTCTGCTGGCTTCTCAATTGAAAAAACAGATATGAAGCATAGGCAACGAGCATAATGCAGCTAGTGAATCTTGAAAGAGATAACTCAGACTTCCCATAGTGCAACTCTGTCCGAGTAGAGTGCAGTACTGCTGGAAAGAGCAAACCCATGACTGCCATCAATAGCAATCCAGAGTTCACTCCTGAAGTTGCCTGAGAATATAGAAACTTTGAACTTTAGTTGCAAGAAAAAGATATGGAAGATCAAATACAAAAAATAAAACCAAATAAATAAGGCGCTCTTTTTCACAGACGAAATATACCTTGTTGAACACTTGCTCCCTCTGTGAATGCACAAGTCCACCAGCAAAGAATGCGCATCCAAGCACGAGCAACATGTTCGATAGGATTGAGCCTAGTAAGGATTGTTGAACAACACGAATCATGCCTCTTTTCAGAGCATAAATTGATATTATCAATTCTGTTGCGTTTCCAAAGGTGGCATTTAAAAGGCCTCCAACTGCAGAATTAAGTCATGATTGGAGTTATGGATAACATTTTTGGATCAACAAAATGGATACTAATTGTCAAGTTAGTGCAACCGCTTTCAAATTTTAGGGTTAAATGTGAAAGGAAACATGTGATGCAGGTGAAGTACCGGTTGGATAAGGAAATTTTAGTGCTCAAACCAAACTTAAAAGCTATATGAAGACTTATGGAATCTGGCATTTATCAGTGACTCAAACTTCAAGCCTTATGAAATGGAAAAAACGGATATTTGCATTAACAACATGCTTACCTGTTGGTCCAGTATAGCAAGCCAGTTGCCTGCATCAAAAGAAGCCAAGCTGTATTAGGAACTCAATAATGCATATTGATTGCAAGGTAAGTTGATATGGACTTCCGTCTCAAGTGCTCGCAGATTAAACCCTAATACGCTAAAACACTAACAAATGTTGTTTTCTAATACATCAAGTTAACTGGATAGCTGTTCAGACATGGCTGTTGGATTCCACTTGTAACATTTCTGTTTGTAAACAAAGAGTATACAAAGAGAGTGCAAGAAATCTTACTCCGTTGCATATCCTAATCGCTCAGCCAAAGGTATGATTCCCAACAAGCTTAAAAGAAAGACCCAACCCTGAAATGCTTTGAAAGAATCAAATAAACTAGGCATACAATCGTGTGATGATCCGAGACCTTCGCACGCAGAAAAAGATAGTGAAAACTCACATGATGGCCGGTTAATTTATCAACCACGATTGCTAAAGGGCCAAAAGGCATGAGCAAATTAATTTTGGCAGAGAAAACTACAATCCTGATGCTATCGACCACACTATTCATGACATGGGGACAACAGTCATTTGCACCACCAGAACAAAGATCCCTGAGGGGAGCCTCATCCAATGAATGTTTCTCACCCCCAACTAGGCTCTGATCCTCGAACTCAAACACTGATTTGGGCTGTGTTGATCCCATCTGTGGAGCTGAAACCTTTGTTACCGAAGATTATCACTGCTACCAAAAGAAAATGCCTTTGATACCATATACAGCTAAAGAATTTATAACTGACCTCGGCATGGGAATTGATTTTTATTGTGGCTGCTTCGTTGTTCCTACTATTGTTGTTGCTGTTGTTGTTGTAACGGTTATCAGAATCCATGAGGTGGAAGTAAAAACTCTATGCCAAGAAATCAACAAGAATTCCACCTCCGAACACGGGCATCACTGCTTCATCACATTCTCCACAATCAACACACATACATAGAATGATAGAAATCAATTAACATGAGATCTAAAAAATTTATGCCTATACATACACACATAATACACATAACATTTATGCATATACACTCTACCTGTTTTTAATAAAGCCCATATTGCAGACCTGGACGTAAGCAAGTTTGTTAGTGCAGCGTGCTCCCCTTCAGCATGCAAATTCAACTTCGAATACCCCTCCCCGTTCTTTACTCTAGATTAAAATATCCCTTGAATCAGAATAAATCCTAAACGATTTTTTTTTTTTTTTTGTCAAGAACATGAATTTAACAACCCTAATAAAAAAAATATCACGCATCAATATACATACATATATATATATATATATATTTGTATATGTATGTATGTATTCTTTACCTGTTTCTAACAAAACCCTAATGAAATTTTGGATAAGAACCCCAACAAACAAAATAAGAACCCGAATTATGGAAAGTAAAGAACTAACCTTGTGGTATAATGGAATTGCATATATAATATATATATATATATATATGTATATATATATATATATGCGTGTTTATATATAGGTTCTCCAATGCCTAAAAAATCAGACCCAAAAGAACATGCATGCTTATGTAACAAAAATGTAATTTTCGTCTAGAAAAGTTCTGGGATTCCTTCCAAAGTAAACAAAAAGAATGGAAGGCAGAAGATAAAAACAAAGGAGGTAGCTATTAAGTGCAAATTTGCAAATTGATGGTTTTGATAAAAGTGGAAATTAAACAGCTGTGACAGATATTGATACGCGAAATGTGATCCACAGCCATCCGAGGGAAACCCGCCGTTTTCTCCCCGGCAAATATCAGTGTCTCTCTTTTCCTATTTTCAGACATGCAAATGCAATGGTTTCTTTCTTCCTTTCTTTTGTTTTTCTTTCAATTCGATCACTTTAATTTATTCCGTTTTCATAGCAGAAAAAATGTTGCACCGTTGACATGGACCAATCTCGCCACTCTCAAAATGCCATATTAAACAGTTTTATTTTATATTTTCTATCAATATACACGATATCTTACATTAACAGCTAAAAATTTCTGGCAGAGCCACATAATTAAGCAACCATAATGTTTTGTATTGATCAACTTGTTATTCTTAAGAGTCGAACACATACATTTAACTCACAAATATGGAGATATACTACTAAACTGTAATACTATTAACAACAATTTTAGCTTTTCATTTTTCAAGAAAAGTTTATGTACTTACTAATTGACCATCCATTGTCACCAGCTAGTACTATGGCTAAAATGCAAGCTCCAACTCCAGAGCAAAAAACGTAGGTTACAAATTGAAAATTCGAATTGAAGATTTGAACTGATACATCGGGATTTTTAGTTGTTGGATCTTAATCATATTAGTTCGATAAAAAAACTCTTAAACCATTTTTAAAGGAGATGTCAAAAATGTCACATCGACATAATACAGTGACAAATGGCGTACCATTTACTCCTATCGAGATGTCAAAGTTGACATGAAAAATAAAACTAAGCTGACATAGACAAAGAAATGTCAAAATTGGCGTTGCCTTCAAATATGGTTTTTATTATTTCCAAAGGCATTCCACTTGTCTTATCTTAAATGTTAACATATTTAAGTATCTTTAAACCAACAACAACAACCCAACTTTTATTATTTTGTTAAAAAAATAAACATAAATGAAGCAATAAATTTTGACATATCAGGTGGAAGGAAAATATTAACAATATGTCAAAATACCAAGTTTGCCATCATATTTCAATTTGATGTTTTGATTTTGACATCTCATTTGGAGAGGCTCTTATAAAGTTTTATAGTAAGGTTTAAATTGTCTTTTACAAGAGATTCAATTAAATGCATAAAAAAACTATGGTCAATTAAATAGACACAAGGCATGATTTTGGGAGAGTAAGCAACAATGTCTTAAAAACGCGTCTGAGGTGTGCCTAGGCGGCTTTAGAGGCGAGGCATAAGTGAAAACGCCTTTGCCCAGTGTGCGTAGGCAAAAACTCACCTAGATGTGGTCAATGCGCACCTTAGGGCCTCCATTCTCTTCTTTGCATGACACCACCAACCGAGCAACACCGCCACCACCCAGTGAAGAGGGAAAGTGAGAGTCATGGAGATTGTACTAAGAGAAAGAGAGTGGGTGGGGATGTAAGTGGACCATATAAATGTTGTAAAATGAGTGGATATTAATGAGTGAGAGAGAGAGAGAGAAGAGGGTAAGTGAGAGTATGAGAGTGTACCGAGAGAGAATGGATAAAGGATGTATGTTGACTGTATTAATGTTGTAAAATGAGTGAATATTAATGAAAGAAAGAGAGAAGAGGGAAAGTGAGAGTGAGGGAAAGAGTGGGTGGGGGATGTATGTAGACTACATTAATATGTAAAATGAGTGGATATTAACGAAAGGAGAGAGAAGAGGGACGTCATCAAGGATATGATCAACTCAAGGTGGGTGCCTTGTCAAAACCTCATTAGGTAGCAAATACCCAGTTGGAAAAATACTCCTAAACGTAAGAAAAAGAGTACATTAAGATCAAGCATGTATACTTAAGGATACTCCCCCTGAGTTTGACACAATTCCAAAGAGAACTAGCAATGTTACAACTCAGAAAGTTTACGCATACCAATTCCTTGAACATGCTTCTGAAACGTAATCTTCAGTAGTGATTTGGTGAAGAGGTCGGCCAGATTGTCTTGTGAATGGATTTGCGTGACTTCAATGTTCTGATGCTTTTGTTGTTGACGTAAGAAGAAAAACTTTGGCGTAATGTGTCTGGTGTTGTCTCTTTTGATGTAACCCTTCTTAAGTTGTTCGATGCATGTTGCATTGTCTTTATAAATTGTCATCGTGACAGTAGCAACAAGGTAATGATCGCAGGAGCTTTGAATATGGCCTACAACTGCTCTCAATCAAAAGCATTCTTGAGTTGCTTGGCAACTAAGGTATGTTTAGTTGACCTCCATGAGATTGTAGTGCCTCTAACGGTAAAAACATAACCTATTTGAGAATGCGCCTTATGCAGGTCAGATAAGTATCCTACGTCGGCATAACGAACAAGGCGAGAATCGACTCAATATGGGGGGTGCGGCATCACTCGAGGATCTGTAGGGATTAAACAAGTCTAGATCTGTAGTACCCTTGAGGTAGTAGGAGATGTCTTTAACATCAGTCTAGTGTCTACGTGTTGGTGCATTACTGTATTATGCTAAAAGATTAACAGGGAATGAGATGTCGGGTTTACTGTATTGAGCTAAGTACAATAAGTACCTATCGCACTTAGATAAGGAACTTCAGGCTCCAAAAGCTTTTCATCATCCTTCTTCAGACGGAAAGAATCTTGTTTTGCATCTAGCGATTGAGCAACCATAGGAGTACTCAAAGGCTTCACTTTATCCTCGTTAAAGCGGCGCAACACCTTCTGGGTGTAGTTCGTTTGATGTACTAAAACTCCATCCAAACGATGCTCTATCTCAAGACCAAGCTAGTATCGAGTCTTTCTTAGATCTTTCATCTCAAATTCTAACTTCAGGTGCATGGCAGTTCTCGCAAGCTTTTCGAGAGTTCCGATGAGGTTTATGTCATCGACATATACTGCAACTATCGTAAACCGAAATGTGATTCTTAATGAACACACAAGTACATAGTTTGTTGTTCACATATCCCTGGCTAGTCAAATACTCACTCAAATGATTATACAACATTCTTTCAAATTGCTTCAAACCGTAGAGTGAACGCCTCAGCCGAATTGAGAGCGTGTTCCGATGTTTGGAAATATTTGATCCAGTCAATGTAAGTCCTTCGGGAACTTTCATATAAATTTCCGTATTAAGATCCCCATATAGATACGCAATTACTACGTCCATCAGCTGCATACTCAGTTTTTCAGAAATTACCAAACGAATAAGGTAGCAAAAAGTAATCACATCTGTAATGGGTGAATAAGTTTCATCATAGTTAATCTCGAGGCATTATGAGAAGTCTTGTGCAACAATACGAGCTTTGTAGTGCATAATTTTGTTTTTTCATTATGTTTCCAAACGAAAACCTACTTGGCTTACGACCTTCACATGTGGAGGAGTAGGAGCTACATATCCAAAAACCTTACATTTTGTAAGCGAATCGAGTTCAACTTGGATTGCTTGTTTCCAGTTTAACCAATTAATTCTACGTTGACATTCAGTAACGGAACGGGGTTCAATGTCATCGCTCAACATTATCTCAGTAACTACTGCATATGCTAATGCATAGTCGACGATCATCTCATTTCTACACCAAACATCATCCAAGCTAGCATAATGGATTGAAATCTCACAATTATCAGGAGGTGGATTCGTCTCTTCAAGGACACTTCCGTAATATAGAATTTCCTTATGAGTTGGATAGAATGAGTAGGTGACATTAAAATTCACAATAGGCTCTTCAGGCGCCTGTGCCATGGATTTCCTCTTTCGACGGTGTGAATCCTTTGAACCAAGAGGTTTGCCATGCTTTTGTGTAGGAGCAGAAGATTGGCTAGCTGCTAATGTACGTGGATTGACCAGAGTGGAGTCCCAAGCCTCCAAGAGGAAAGTTCGTTGTACATTTGGTACATCTATCTTTGCAGGCACATTCGCAGCTGGAATATGTGATCTTGTCATTCGTGCCAGATCGGTGAAACATCTGCCATGCTCTAAACTATGATCTAGAGATCTAATATGTGCTGCACAGCAGTCTCAGACTGAGTGGTGTGAGGATCTAAATAAGACAAAGTGGGAGTCGTCCACGATAATTCACATCGTTTTTTAGGAACGTTGACGTTCTTATCTCCCCCTAACAACATGAAGACTGTCTCATAAAAGTGACAATCCGTGAAACGAGTGGTAAACAAATTGCCTGTCAAAGGTTCTAAGTAATGAATGATCGAATGAGAATTATATCCGACATAAATTCTCATCCATTGCTGAGGCCCTACTTTTATACATAAGGGCAACGAACGGTATGTAGACCGCACAACCAAAAAACGCGCAGATGCGATATGTCGGGTTCGTATTCGTTAACTAACTGAAGGTGCTATATGTTTAGGTTGCAACAGGCCTCAGGCAGACAAATATAGTTGCATGAAATGTTGCATGGCCCCTATCGGGAGCTTGGTACGTATGACCAATGATCAAGTATCATTTGTAAGCGCTTAATGAATGACTTTGCCATGCAGTTCTAGGTATGAACATAGGGTTTTGGATGTTCAACTTCAACCTCAACCAACATGCAA